AACTCCATAGAAATCCAATGAACGTCGTAAGACTTCAGTGAACTTCGAAGAAATGCAAATTATTTAGTAGAACTTCATCAAACTACACGGAAACTTGTAGAAATTTGGGGAATTTCTTTAAAGTTTTGGCATTTTGTTTAACCTTCATTAAGTTTCTTTAAACTTTAGTGGCTTTGGAGATGTTCAGGTGAAATCGTTGAAATGCTTGGAATCGGAATTCGGAGCGCTTCTAATTGTTTTGAGGTACATGTATGTACAGTATGCAAATATTGAAATTTTCGCTCCACAGTGCTCGAACGCATCGCATAAGTTTAGAAAACTTCGTAGAAGTGGACACAATTCGCAACTTTCTTTCTTTAGAGGCTCAGAGATAAGTTAAATGGATTAGGAAGTAGTTCAGCGAGTTCATGTAATTGAATTAAAGAAACTGCGTAGGAGTACAGGAACCTTTGTATAAGTTTTATATAACTTAGTTGATATCCATGGATTTTCACTATGATTTCAATTCAGTTCTCTGGATATTTTTTTCAAAATCCTGAAAAATTAAAAAAGTTTATTCAGTACACGGCGAATGAGAACGACCAAAATTTGAGTTTAGTTCACTCATAATCGCCAAAAGTGCAGGAACTCAGCGATGAGTAAAATTTGTCTCATGGTTTCCTGTGGAAAACCCAAAAAATCTGCCGGAAAATGAGGAAATTGACGAAAATTTTATTCAGTCTCGGAGTAGTACCAATAGACTGAGTGAATCCAATCTTTACTTTTCTCAAATTCGGGAATTTTTCCTTGGAAAATCCTGGAAAAACCTGGGAAAACATGAGGAAAATTTACTCATGGCTGAGTTCCTGCACTTTTGGTGATTATGAGTGAACTAAACTCAAATTTGGGTCGTTCTCATTCGCCGCGTATTATTCTGAAGATCAGAAAAACTTCTTCACAGAATTCCAAATGTTTTCAAAATTAAGACATATCTTCAAAACGAATGACGAGATTAAACCTTTATATAAGACGTTGGCGTGTTGCAAAAAAGTGAATAAGGCCTGTACTCGAAAAAAATGCACCAGAAAAAAATTGTTCGCCAAAAATTTATTTTAAGTCGGATTTTCTTGAAACTTTCAGGGAATGAACTAATACATATGGATTATGTTTCGGCATAATTACTTTATTCAATTTCCTTTCCATCGCTAAAAGCCCGCACCTTTCCTTTAAGACCCCTCATTACATTTTGTGCAATGGTGGAGCCGACCTGTTTGGTCACTTTCATCCATTCTTTCTTCAACTCCAGCTCGTTCTTAAACACCTTGGACGATTTTCGAACTTTGGCCTTCATTATGGCCCAAAATCTTTCCACCGGACGAATCTCTGGTGAATTTGGGGGGTTGGCGGTTTTTGGTACAAAAACAACGTTATTGTCTCTGTCTCTGACCGCAGGAAGGGCCACAGACGCTTCTGGAGGCACTCGGTGCGGTAAATTTCGCTGTTGATGGTACCCATTGTGATGTACGGTTTACTCAGTTTACCGCATTGGCATATGGCCTGCCAGAGCAAGTGTTTTTTGGCGAATTTGTCCACTTTCTTCTTCCTTATGTTTTCCGGAACATCAAACCGTGATTTGACAATGTAGAACTCCAGCCCCGGTATCTGCTTTGCGTCTGCCTTGATGTAGGTTTGTCATCCATAACCACACACATCGGTTTCGTTAACCACTCTCGATACAGCTTCCTTGCGCGGGATTTGGCCGCCGTGTTTTGTTGATCACGCCGGTTCGGTGCCTTCCGGACCTTGAATACACGAAGCCCAGCTCGTTTCATGGTTTGCTGAACGAACCAGGCGGAACACTTTGCCCTCAGAGCCGCGTCGCGAATCGAAAGGTTCGGATTACGCTTGAAATAATCCAACACCTTCCGGGCCTTCACTGGGTTAGCTGTCTTCGATTTTCTTCCACTTCCAGCCCGCCGCTTGGTCATCTGGGACTCCTTAAACGATTTTACCACCCGAGACACAGTTGTATGGGTGATTCCCAGTTGTCTTCCGATCCATCTCATGGTTGCAGTCGGATTTTCCATGACGGCACGCAAAATTCTCCGGCGATTTTCTTCTTGTTTCGATGACATCTCAATAACCAGTGAACCGATTGTTATGAAATTTTGTACATGTAAACAATTCACTCCAAACTAGTTATACCCAGATTTTCATCAATTTTTACCCACGGATAAAAAAGTTACACACGGATAAAAATGGTGCATTTTTTTCGAGTACAAGCCTTAATACATAAAGGCCAATTATCAGCCGTAAATAGGCTATTAATTAAGAAATTCAAAGTCACTGCAGAGTTTATTTTAAATAATCTGGAAAAAATCGCAATTCCTGCATGCAATGCAAAAATAGATTGATCCGGTATTTATTTCTTAAATTATCTGTGGTGGTCTCCCTCTCCCCCTTATTTACGCCAATGAGAGTTGTTAGACCTCCAGAATTACCTGGATTTTTTGCAGTACATACTTAATATTCCAGCTCTACAGTTCTTTTATGGAATTTCCAAGAGCTCTAAAGGATGTTGGAGATGATGAGATGATGATGGTCCTACCTCTTACTCCTACAAAGGTTTGAGCTAAACGATTTATCTTTAATATAATTAAATATGACAATTTAACCAGGTTTGCAAACAAAATCGAACTGGTTACAGTTACAGATATTAATTCCCTCTAGAGTTTACAGTTGTTTCACAGTGATATAAATGTGAAAAAGCTCAGGCGTCCTTTTAGTCCACCTAAAATATTCATAAGTATTACAAGCAATCAAGAGTTAATGAACAATCAACAAAGCATCCTATTACACTAGCAACCCCGCAATCTGATGCTATCATAATTTTCAGCAATGTCAGGAATGCTCACGAACCCCCAACATTTGCCAGAAAATTTACTACTAACTCAAAGTATCTTCCAAATAAGCATCAAAATTGCATTTTTATAAAACGTTAAATTCAGTCCTCTAATACGCGCGCGAGGCTCAAACCTTTGTAGACTACTCTTTTTTAAATTAATCTACTATTAAATCAAATATTAAAAATCCATCATCACCATCGTGGCGAACAGGGATAGTTTTTGCAGTGCTACAATAATTATTAAAAAAGTCGTTATGACAGCTATCCATATAAAATAATCCGTTAGAGATAACTTTGTCAAGATACATAGTTTGTCAATTCATAAAAAAATATCACTGGATAACTGTTCAAAAGACAGTTTTAACGTGTGAAATGCAGTGTCTTTTAAATACTGTAAGTGTTGCTGAACGTTTTATATGTCTAGGCATCGAATTGAAAACATTTATTCCTTTATAATATAATGAATTTTGTGAAGCACAAGTCAAGAAATGTGGTGTTCTTATTTCAACCGTGTTTCTAGATATCTATGAAAGTCACTTCCTCTTTCAATTCGATCACACAAATATCGAGGCAGCAAACCGTTAACTACTTTAAAAATGAACGAACACCATAGTCAAATATACAAGTCTTTGCTTCACCGACAACCATTGTAAGGCGTCTAGCATCAAAGTTGAGGAAGTATCAAACTCAATATCAAACGCCTTATTTTATTCTGCAAGCGCTGTAATCTCGATATTTGTGTTGCATTGGCCAGAAATAAAATGGAAGGGCAAAAGTCTAGATGAAGACAGATGATTGATTTGTATAGCTGTATTTTACTGGCAATAGTTAAATCGTTTTTCAGTCGACATAGAATTCCATACTTCTTGGCAATTTTCTTGATGACATTGTCAATGTGAGAGTTGAACTTAAGTGTGTCATCAATAACCACGCCAAGATATTTAATCTCCCGAACGTGATCAATAGTCTCATCATCAATTACAACAGAGACGTTCTCATTTACTCGATTCCGCGAAATTACCATAAATTTAGTTTTACTTGTATTCAATTTCATCGATTTAATCACTTCATTCGAGAAGCTAAAATGAGCTTTACTACCACACGAACTTCACAATACAACAATATTTTGAGAGTATTTAAGAGAAAAGTAGTAATTTATTGATCCAGTTGTATCCACACCAAAACTGCTTGACAAAGTGCTCCATTCTTGGAATTCGTAGAGTTGCTGGATTTTTAGGAAGTTCTCAGAATACAGTCAACTTTCGTTCGTTGGGCTAAACCCATAGCCCACTCAGTGAAAGACTTTCGTTAGTTGGGCTGAGCTGTCAAAGTTGAAAATTGGTTGCGGGATACACCGATTGTTCATTATCGTCGAAATCGTTTAGCAACTATCCAAATTATCCTCGATGAGCCCCTCGAAAAGGAAGCAGCCGTGTTTCTTTGGCCCGCTGAAACATAGCCCAACGAGCGTAATTCGACTGTACACAAATTTATTGGATTTCTAAAAGTTGTTTCCAGATCAATCCAATCCAGAATCAATGCCTCATGGTGATTTGACAAGTTCTACAATGTGTCTTCCAAATATATCAACATGTACAGAAACCTATTATTAAACCCCACCTTCTAACCCTTAAAATAGATCCCAACCCCGCAAACGACTCATGACGAAGGCTAATTACATCCCAAATCGATCCCTCCCCCACCCTCCTCCGCCTCAGCTCCATACCCCCCAAGTCCGCCATGCCATAAAACATTGTCGTCGCCACTAAATACTGCCGCCGCTAATCCCAAATTAGTCTCCAAATAATCACAGTTCTACTGATCTGAGATTGAATGACATCACACCCCGTCGTCGTTTCACCGTTCGAGCAAGTGGTCTACCCATCGCGGATCACTTGTCCTACTGAGACTGGAGGGCTGAGCCCCCTAAAAGTGCGGAAAATGATCCTACCCGTGCCATGTAATTACATCTGCCACCCAAGTCTCTGCTGAATAGGAAATCAAAACAGGCAAAGCGACGACAGAACAAATGCATTTAAATATAATCGCCGTCGCCTGAAGATCAGCGCTGCCTAGCGACGAACAATTGTACGCTTGTGTATTAGATAGACAATACCTTTCATGGTTGGCAACTCCTCTCGATCCGGTTGTGACGGCGGCGGCGGCGGCGGCAATCTGTGAGCAGATCTGGTTTCCAGCTTAAGGTTCCACACTTGGCAATGGAGAGTCTCCGATTTCGGACCGATTTACAACACAGCCCACGCCCGCTAGTACAGTAGTTGATATAATTTTGTTTCACTTCTAGATTTTCGGCCGCAGCGCCATCTGCGATCGGCAGTTTTCCACGTAACATGTAACAACTAGAGCAATAAATTTCCCTTCCCCTTCCACTTTTTTGCACTTTTCTCACCAAAACTATGATGCCACAACTTTTATTTTTATGGGAATTTTATCAACTTACGTCTTGAAGCTTTTATTTCTTTCCTTGGTGCACACGTTTCGCAGCAGCCTGCTTCGACTCACTGCACTGCCACTGCACACTGCAACTGCCAAACTGCTTTTTCCTCTTCTCCACTCCTCCCAGGCGCTAAACTTCCACCGTAAACAAACACAACCCGCATCAGCATCATCATCATCATCACAATGGCACTAACGACAACGACACACTATCAGATTTCCTCACCGGCTTCTGGTAAATCTATTTCACGCTTATTTTAGCACTTTTGTTTTCAAACTGTTACTATAACTCGTCATCCACGTACATTCCTGACATTGACATGATCACGCTTCTCAGTAACTGGCCAAATTCTCGGTTTTGTAATATTTTTTTTGTTTATCGTTAAGAAATTAAACCACTCAGGCACACTGCGACTATTCAAAACTCCTTTAAACTCGGATTCAAGAGGTTCGTCCTCTCGCGGGGAAACCTCGTTGCGCACTGATGATCCCCATTGATGGATGGAAGCGGAAGCCGTACAACAGTGTCGGATGGCAGGCAGACAGGTTGGTTCGGGGGGATGCTGCCCAGCACCAGACTCTTTAAGCAGGCTTCTTTCTAGTGGTGATAGCCTTGCCAGCAGAACACAGGGAGATAACAACCGCGGCACGGAGTTTGCGACCAAATCCGTATACTACAACCAGACGGCACGAGCGACAAACGGCAACTGGCCACCACTCGCTGGGTTGTTAGCCAAGCTCCTGCTGCGCTGCGACCGGATGGCGGATCGATTCGAGCAGTTTCGAGGTTCGACATTCGACCTTGCCTGGCTTTTCAGCACTTTGAGAGTTCTCTCCGCTCGCTCGCTCGCTCGCTCTCCCGCTCTCTTTCCTCTTGGGACGGAGCGCAATCAAGAAACAAATTTTGAATGGAAACACGTGGGTGGTTGCTTCGTAACGAGGTTTGGCGCGCGCGGGATTTTCTCTCACTCTCATTTAATTCTCTCACGACGAAAAGTGGCGCGTGTGGGAGAAATTCTTCCGGTTCTCTGTTCCTGCCCGGTGTGCCCGCCGTGAGAATCGCGCGCGCGGGTTGATGTGTTTCAAATCTGCTGCTGCTGCTGCTGATGATGGGTGATTAGAGTAAAGGTAAACAACTCCGCTCGATTGGTGAGTTGTATGCTGGAGGAAAATGAAACAAATTATTGCGATTCGAATGAAAATACATAACGTAGGGAAATAAAGGTTTTGCTGTTCGTTTTTTGATTATTGGTCGGTTAAACTCCATGTTCAATCTTCATCTACCTGACTTTGACGGTTTCGCGTGCTCTGAACTTAGTGTTCTTGAAGCAATTCCACAGTTATTATTGAGTTTGTATACCTATTGAGTGGCAAGCACAATGATACTCTATGCCCAGAGAAGTCGAGAAAATTTCCAACCCAAAAGCCCGGACTGGGAATCGAACCTGCCGGCTCAGGCTTGGTGGATTTTCCTATGTTTCGAGGGCTGCATCGATTAACTTGGGACCGAAGATAGTACCAGAGCTGATCCAAAAAGTTGAGCACGTTTCTTCGGGACCTTCTCTATGGTAATACCGTGCGATTATTGACTAGGCTATCTGAGGCCTCAAAAACAAAATCAGAAATATATAGGTAAATCAAGCCAAACAATGGATTAGGTCCTAAGTTACATTGATCGATTCTCTTCATCGGCTTTCTTTTCCTTTACTAACGAAATCTGGAATACTCTAAAAAACTAAACAAACTCTAATTTCATGGTATAAAGAATATAAACAATATTTTTCAAAATTATTTTCATGTGGAAATCTTGTTTTGAAATAATGCTATTGAAATAAAATTGTTTATTTTTTGTAGAATGTAGTTTATTTATGTTTAGCTAATAGATTCACATTCACACATTCAATTTGTAAAAATATTACTCTTCTAAATTAAGTAAAAAAAGTTCAGTATAGTCATCTTTTTTGTTTTAATCAGAACTGTGTTAATTACCGTCGGAATTTGTTGGTAAATTTATTTTCAATGCAATGTTTTACCAAAGTGAATATGTTGAGCAGAGTTGAAGTGTTTCGGAGATTTATTATTATTTCTTGAATGCATCACATTTTCAAAATAATTTGCATAAACCTTTGCTTTGCTTTGTTCTTCATTCTTTATTCTTTTCAAATTAAGATTGAGGAATCCACCTGAAGACGACTACTGATATATTAATAAAACAAACGGTCACTCATATTAAAAAGTATTGACCGATTTTTTTTTAACACAAGAAACAATTCTATCAAATTCATACCGTTCAGCAGGTTTACGGAATCTACTAGAGATCTATTAACGGAATGTTCCCTTAATTTGAGCCAACTAAACGGTAGCTAACTAAATAATACTATTCGCAAATATTTTGAATTTTGACTACTGAGCAATCTACGACCCAAGAAGAAACGAAAACTTCAGCTTCGCCAAGTGAAACACCTACCGAAACTGAACCAACAACAACCTGAATCAGTGTAATTCAAATTTACGGTTGAGACCAAGTGTGAGCATGGATAATAGAACCATTATTAATCTATTAGACGCAAAATTAAGCCATGGTGACAATGTTCACAGAGCCATTGAATTCATTTGTGAAAATTATAACATCTCGGTGGAAAAACGTAAACGTCTCGATGAAAAGATCCCAAAAAACCGTTACTAAATACATCAACAAATGGCATGAAGCTAATCGCACGAAAGAGCGATTTGAGTCGTATTTTCGGAATTGGCTTGATGGATTTGAGTGAAAGAGGAAAACGTCGCGTAATCGATAAAGAAGCAGTTGATCCAAAATTCGATACCATCGAGAAAGCTTTGTTATTTGCAAGACGGACCGCTTACAATCGAAAGGATTTTAATTTAGTTAAAGTTATTGGGCATATTTTAAAAAACCAAAAAAGCTCTAAAGCCATGCTGGCTCAACTAACTGATCAACGAGGAATGATGTCACCAGAAGAGGCTGTTAGTGTACTTATCGAGGCTGGATTGAGTAGATTTCAATACGAAGTAATACATAGTGAATCACCTTCAAGGTTTCCACCTTACTATGTGATCGGAGCAGTGAAAAAAATATGCGCCCCTCCTAGTGAATTCATCGAAGAAAGTGCATTGAAAATAAGAGTGAAACTCCAGGCGCTGATGGAAAATACAGTGAAACGAATCGTCCAAATAATTGATGCAGAGCTCAACGAGTATATGGATAGCAACGATCTAGTTTCTACGGAACTGGTTCTTCTATGTAGCTTGGGTATGGACGGATCAACTGGATATTCGCAATATCATCAAGTGCTACCAGAAGGATGTCAGGACGATTCAGATGTATTTTCGTCCACTTTAACACCAATTCAGTTGTTCATGTACAATGATCGAAAGGAAATTATGTGGTTTAATCCCATGCCTCAAAGTATTCGATTTTGTAGGTCATTCATCCTTGAATTCATTAAAGAGAGTAAAGAAGTTATTCTGGCTACAAAACAGGATGTAGAAAAAGAAATGAGTGAACTAACGCCAGTGAAAATTGAACTCTCAAACGACAAGTTTATACTGGTTGATTTTGATTTTGTCCTCAGTATGATAGACGGAAAAGTCTTAACTTATATCACTGGAAATTCGTCGATGCAGAATTGTCCAATATGTGGGGCAACACCAAATGTAATGAATGATGCAGAGAAATTCGAGGAAGGATTTATATCAAACGAAGAAGCCTTGCATTACGGCATATCTCCACTTCATGCTTGGATAAGATTTTTCGAATGCCTTTTCCATATTGCATACAGAATGGATATCAAAAAATGGAAGGTAACGAAACCGTTCAAAGAACTATATGAACAAAGAAAAAAACATGTGACGACACAGCTTTACGAAAAATTTGGAGTAAGAGTAGATCAACCACGATCGGGTGGAGCAGGTACCAGTACTACAGGAAACGTTTGTCGAAGAGCATTTGGAAATCCCAAGCTTTTAAGCTCCGTGCTGAACATTGATGAAGAGTTAATTTTCAGATTCCGGAATATATTAATTGCTATTAACTGCCAAGAGCCAATAAACCCGGAAAAATTTGATGCATATTGCAAGGAAACATATAGGCTCTATCTTTAATTGTATGATTGGTACAAAATTCCTGCAACCGTGCATAAAGTTCTCGCTCATGCCGGAGAAATAATCATACATTCACCAGCACCACTTGGTTCATTAGCGGAAGAGGCAGCAGAAAGTCAACATAAACAATTGAAAAAATATCAAACCCATCATGCAAGAAAACGATCAAGAGTAGAAAATTTACATGATGTCTTTATTCGTGCCATTAATGAATCGGACCCACTGATCAGTTCCATTTAGATGGCAAAAAGACGACAGAAAAAAGTATCCCTGGATTATCCCGACATCGTGAAAAGTTTCGTGATATTTGAAAATTCTGTAAGTGATTCAGTAGTCGATACTAGTAACTTCAATGCCTTAGAGGAACTTATGAAAGCAGTTGATGAAATTGAAGAAGAATTTGTTCATGATGATATTGTAACAGAGGAATAAAAAGAAATTCGTTGAAACATATTTGATTTTGATTATTGTATCATGGCTTTTTGTATTTTTTTTAACAGAAGATTTGTTGAAAAAGTAGAAGGGTCTGTGCCTAGGGGCACGAACGGAAGCTTGACGTAGGACCGCTAGTGGACGGAATAAATGTGAAGAGCATTAAGTTCTTTTAATTGATCAAATATCTATTATCTCAACTCTTTCCGTAGGCTTTGTAGGCTTACCAAATTTGTAGTGATCTTTTTCAAAAAGAAAGTTGATTACGAGAATCAATCAAAATCAGTTGCACCCCTGCTTCCAGGTTTGTGTGGTCGTTGCGGGCTTGCGGTTCTGAATATGGACAAACAAGCATAGATAAATTCTATTCCAACTCTTTACTGATGTAAGCTTGATGGCCCTGAAAAGGGCCGTTTTATTAAAGAGGACATCCATGGCCACTTACGCTTGGCGTGTTTAGTGTAGGTGACAGCATCACGGACCTCATTTTCCACGAACACCTTCAGCACACCTCGTAGATCAGACCGGAGATACGTCAGACACTGCCACGGCGAGCCAGACGACGGATGGTGGTTATCTCGAAGAATTTGCGATGACGATTGGCACCTCCTTTGCCACGACCAGTCAAGTGTTGCTTGTTGGTTATAGAAAAGTGGACCACCTTCCTACTGCTGCTATTGCTGACCACGCCGTCCGAAGCGAAAATGAGCTGATACCAGACTTTAAATGACTTTAAATGATCTTTATTTCTTGTGTTTGTGTGGTATGAATTTTCTAGTGACACAGATGCGTCTTTTCAACTTTAGTACAGTTGACATTTTAATTATTAATTACAGTTCCTAGTCCTATCAGGCCTGTTTAAGAGACTGACCACCTTGGTGGGATTGGTTTGTTTTAAATTGAAAAAGGAAACTACTTATAACTACTATTTACAACTACAACTACTATATACACCTAACCTACTATATACAAATTGCTTATCAAAGCATGTTCTGATAAATTACATTTTTGTGCAAATTGAGTCTTAATTTCGTTAATTTTGGAATCTATTTTGGCAATGCCTGCCTCTTCATGTAAATTTGTTATTCTAGTGTTGAAAGGACGATCAAGAACCATCCTCAGCACTCTATT